CCAAGCATCCAAATATGGTCACCTGACTCTGACGGTCGTAAGAGCGAGGACTGGTCGCAAGTCACTGTTTTTCATCACGGTCCTAATTTCGAATGGTCACTAAATGAAGTTATTTTAATTACTTCTCTATTTTTTATGACCCATATTAAGTTGCCCGACATCGTTGACATATCGGGGAAGATGGGCAGCCTATAAATTTAATTAAGGAAAAAAAAAAAAAAACGGTTGTAAGTTGAGGACTTACTGAATCGTTGCTTTTTTTTTTTCTCTTCCTCATTGACTATCCACTTGGGAGCCTCTCCTTCCTTGTGTGGCAGGAAAAATAAAACAAAAATGAATAAAATAACAATGAAACGGATTTTTCAAGCCGAGAAACTAATTTTAATCTGTGCATTTTCAGGCTGCGTTCATCTACCAGCTGGAAACACGCTATTTGCAAAGTCAGGTACGTCTTTTCTTCATAGCAGAATTTTCTGGGAGAGGCAACCATATCTTAAAAGCAGCGGATTAGGATAATACTTAAAATAGCATAAAATAGAATTCTTTATTGGCCAAGCGTGATTGGACACCCAAGGGATTTGTCTCTGGTTCGTAAGCTCGCACTGTGCATTTAAAAAAATAAAGCAATAGATCCCATATTAGTGATGGCTAACTTTTTCCACCTTGCGTGCCAAAAGTGCGTTCGAGTGCCTGCATCCATAATGCTCCCCCTTACACATGGGCACAGGACCACACACACACCCGGCACTACACACCTCTGTGCATGTGCACGCAACCTGTTGTGGTTTGCTGGCAGCAGGTGCGGACGGCTGAGGTCTCAGAGAGCGAGGACTCGGATGAGGGGCCTGCGTGTGATGCAGGGATGGGGCCAGGACCATCAGGGAGTGGAATGAGGCCTTCGGAGATTGTGGAGGCTGGCAGGAGTGAGGAAGAGGTCCCTGAGGAGCCTGTGCCCAGTGTGTGCAGGGCTGCTTGAAGGAAAGAGCAGCTGCAGCAGCACGGGCGACTCAGGAGTAAGGCTGCAAGGTAATGGCCCCTCCCTTAAGAGATAAAAGCCAGCTGAGAAAACGGAGTTCTTTGCAGGAAGCAAAGACGTTTTTGTACTCAAGCCTGGTGGACGTTTGGAATATCTTGGTTGGTGTTTGGAGACTCTTTGTGTTTGAAATACTTCTTAGTAACTTTATCTAGGGTTCTTGGCAGCCTTGCACAACCTTGGCAAGGTTCCTCCTTATCAGAGACAATTAGTTTGAAACAGCCTTTTAACCGGGAAGGAACGGAATCCTTAAAGAATCATTAAAAGGTTTTGCTGTTACCTCTGTTTTGTGGTTGTTTCCTTGGAACAAGGTTTGGGTCAGAACACAACCCCTCCACATGCCGCATGCCTCTGCGCATGCGTGTGCATTTCCCCCGCGCGCGTCTCCCCCCATGCCTGCGCAGCAGATACCTGACAATGGGTTGGCAGGGGGCAACGCACGTGAATGTGCAGTGGGGCTCTTCCAGGCGACCTCTCGCGAGCCGGCAGAAAGTGGCTCTGCGTGCCATAGGTTCACCATCACAGTTCCTATATTATAGAGGTGGTGTTCACACAAATCCTTTTCTCACATTCCAGGCTGTGCTCTTGCCTCAAGTAGTGACCGGCGTGGTGGTGAACGTGTTGAACGTGATCATGAACACCATTTTCCTGCACTCCTTCAAACTGGGTGTGGTGTAAGTGTGACAGATTTCCTGTCGATTCAAAGCAGGGGTAGGCAGCCCGTGACTCTAGAGCCGCACGTGGCTCTTTCATCCCTCTGATGCGGCTCTTTTTCGCTGGTTGGCGCCACAATTTTGAGAGGAGCTTCCGGTTGTGGGAGGGGTCGGGGAAAGTATGGGACACCAGGAGGAGACTCTATGGCTGTGATGGCAAACCTCTAGCACGCGTGCCACAGGTGACACGCAGAGCCATTTGTGCGGGCACGCGAGCCCCAAGCAAACGTACCTGCACTGTGCATGTGCGCACCTCCCAGCTGATTTTCTGCCTGTTTGAGCCCATTTTCGCCTGTTTTCGCCCTCCAGGAGGCTCGAGGGAAGCCTCTGCAGCCTTGGGAGGCCGAAAAACGGGGCTTCCAGAAAAATCGGAAGTGCCGAAACAGGCCCGTTTTCAGCCTCCTGAGGCTGCAGAAGCTTCCCTTGAACCTCCAGGAGGGCAAAAACGGCCTCCCCTGGGCTCCAGAGGCCCTCCGGAGGCTGAAAACAGTCACTTCCGGTATTTCTGAAAGGCCCGTTTTTCGGCCTCCAGAGGCTTCCCTCGAACCTCCAGGGAGGTATGTGCATGTGGGAGGTATGTGCATGTGCAGTGCAGGGAGGTATGTGCATGTGCAGTGCAGGGAAGGGGGCAGAGCGCATTGCATTGTGGGTGCCAGCACGTACGCGCACCTGCGCTTTCGTCACATCCAACGAAAAGGTTCGCCATCACTGCTCTATGGCAAAAGGGCAGGTTTTCCGGTCGGCTCTACAATTGATAGGGCTTTCTGTTAGGACAGGTAGAGGAAAAAGGACTAGGACAGTGGTGGCTAACCTTATTGGGCTCCTGTGCCCAAAATTGCATGCCAGGTCCTAGAATGAAGTGCACACACCCCTCCCCACACCCCCTGCGCATGCACTGCGCCTCACAGCTGGGTTTTTTTTGGGTTGGTTCGAGGCCATTTTTGGCCTCCCAGAGGCTTGGAAGAAGCCTCTGCAAGGCTTTTCAGGCCGAATTATAGGCCCGTTTCATCACTTCCGGTATTACAGGAAGTGACGAAATGGACCTATGATTTGTTCCTGAAAAGCCTTGCAGAGACTTTTTCCAAGTCTCTGGGAGGCCAAAAATGGCCTCAAACTAACCGGAAAAAAAAATCAACTGTGAGCCACACGTATACGCAGTGAGGTAAGTTTGTCTGCGGCTTGCGTGCCGGCACAGAGGGCTCTGCATGCGACTTGTGGCACGTGTTCCATAGGTTCGCCATCATGGGACTAGGAAGAGACTCTATGGTGGGGAGACTGGACTTCCGGTCGGCTCCAGAATTGAACGGGGTGGCTCCGGGTTAGGACCTTTGGGGCTCTTTGAGTGTTTATAGTTGCCGACCCCCTGGTCCAAAGTCTTGAGTTCAAAACATAATGCTCATAATTTCCCGCGGGTGCTTCGTTGGGTGAAACAGCCAGAGAGGTGGCTTAAAATCTTCCAGAAGACGGGTAGTCCTCGAATTACAGCGGTTCATTTAGTGACCCTTTGAAGTTAGGACGGCACTGAAAAAAAATGACTTAGGACCCTTTTTCACACAACGGCTGCAGCGCCCCCATGATCACATCATCAAAATACAGAGGCTTGGCAACTGACTCATACTTATGACGGTTGCAGCATCCTGGGGTCATTCCGATAAGCCAAGTCAATGGGGAAAGCTGGATTCACTTAACGACTGCAGTGATTCTGCTTATCAATAGTGGCAGAAAAGGTTGGAAGATGGGACATTTAACAAATGTCTCGCGTAACAACAAAACTTTTGGGCTCAGTTGTGGTTGTAAGCTGAGGATTACCTGCAGAGAGGGGATTTACAACCATTCGCTTAGGGTGATGATTTGCTTATCAGTAGTGGCAAAAGAGGGTGTAAAGTCAGGCATGACTCACTTAACAGCTGCCTCGTTTAACAACAAATTCTGGTCTCAGTTGTGGTTGTAAATCATGAATCTACCTGAATGAAGTTGCTAGCTGTCATGAGTTCAATCAAACAAGATGGCCAAACATTAAGGCTTTCTTACTCTCTTTTTCTCTCTCTTTGTCTCTTTTTCTGTTTCTTTCTCTGTTTCTCTCTCTGTGTCTTTCTCCCTCTTTTTCCTTCTCTCTCTGTTTTTCTCTCTATCTCTGCCTCTCTTTCTCCCTCCTTCTCTTTTCCTTTCTCTTTCTCTATCTCTCTTTCTCTTTCCCTCTTTTTCTCTGTCCCTCTCTGTTTTTCTCTCTTTCTTTCTCTCTGTCTCTCTTTCTCCCTCTCTCTTTCTCTGTTTCTCTCTCGTTTCTTTTGGTCTTTCTCTTTCTCTCTCTCTCTCCCTCCCTCCCTCCCTCTCTCTCCCTCTCTCTCTTCCACAGAGGTTCAGCCTGGGCCAACACTCTTTCACAGAACCTGCAGGCATTCCTGCTCTTCCTCTTCATTTGGTGGAAAAAGATCCATAAGGAAACCTGGGGAGGTAGGGAAAAAAGCGGAATATTTTTGGCCACCTGGGGAGGAAGGAGGGAGCATTTGAGAGACTCACCGGAAGAGCTGGGAACCCTTTCGTTCCCCCACTTCCTCTTTTCAAAAAAGTTATTTTATTTATTCTAAGTTTATATGGCCCCTCGTCTCACCCAAAGGTGACTCTGGGTGGGGTACAATAATCCCATATTGCAAAGCACACCCACAGGCATAGACACACACTCACCACCCACAAACACACAGCAGACACCCAAACCGACGTAGGCACGCAGATACACATTACAAATACACAGACACAAACAGACACATACACAAACATAGACACACAAACACACGACAGATACATAGACACCCAAACAGGCAGACACACTCACAGAGACACAGATACAAATGCACACATACACAAACAGATATAGATACACAAACACACCACAGATACATAGACACCCAAATAGACATAGACACACAAACACACACACACAGAGACAGACAGACATAGACAAAAACAGACACACACACAGATTACACAAACAGACATGGACACACAAACACGCAGACACACAGACATAGACACATACTCAAACTGACACATACACAAACACACCACAGATACATGGACACCCAAACAGACAGACATAGACACACAAATACGCAGACACACTCACAGAGACAGAAACAGACACAAATGCACACACACAAACAGATATAGACACACAGACATAGACACACAAACACACACAGAGACAGACATACACAGAAACAGACACACACACACAAGCAGACATGGACACACAAACACGCAGACACACCACAGATACATAGACGCACAAACACACGGAGATACACACACAGATAAAACAGACCCTGCTCCAACAACCGGAGGCTTCCAAGAAGAGGCTGGACAAGCCTTTGTCTGAAATGGTGCAGGGTCCCCCTGCCTGAGCAGGGGGTTGGGCTAGATGGCCTCCGGGGTCCCTTCCAAATCTGTTGTCCTGTTATTCATACCCACAGAGACAGACAAGACTGTGTGTCCAAGTGTGTGTCTTTGTGTCTTGTCTGTCTCTGTGGGTATGAACAGACCTAGAAGCACACAGAGACAGCCCCCGCCCCCCCACCCTGACATGGCAGCCATCTTGTTTTGTAGGCTGGACGATGGAGTGCTTACAGGAATGGGGTCCCTTCATGTGCCTCGCTCTGCCCAGCATGTTTATGATCTGCATCGAGTGGTGGACTTTTGAGATCGGGAGCTTCCTGGCAGGTGAGACCCCTGACCCTGTTTCTCTCTCTCTCTCTCTCTCTCTCTCTCACCCACCAGGGGGTCTTTCACCTGTCTCTCCGGGCGGCGAGTGGCTTCCACGCTTAGGTGGAGTTACACAGGTAGTGTAACTCGGCTTGCGACCACAACTGGACCCGAAACGTTATGTCGCTAAGCGAGGCGGCGGTTAAATGAGTTTTGCCCCATTTTTATGACCTTCCTTGCCGTTGGTTGGTTAAGTGAATCACTGCAGCGGTTAACTTAGGAGTGCGGTTGTTCCGTGAACCAGCCTTCCCTCCCCCGTTGGTTTTGCTTTGCGGAAGGTCGCAAGTAACCTTGGGACACTGCAACCGTCATAGGTATGAGTCAGCTGCCAAGCATCTGAGTTTTGATCCCGTGACCCATGGGGTGCTGCAACGGTCGTTAGTGTGAATGAGGCCACGAGTCCCTTTTTTTCAGTGCCGTTGTAACTTGGAACGGTCACTACATGAGCTGATGTAAATCGAGGACTACCTGTATAGGTAGCCCTCACTTTATGACTAAAACTGACCCTGAAATTTCTCTGCATGGGCCATGACAACATGGCATTCCATCAGATTGTCCGGTTCTTATCGGTGATGCGGTTGTGGGGCCAAAGGTTTTCACCAACTTCATCTATTTTTATTATGACGTTGGTTGGTCGCACAGTCAGATGTTCAGGCTGGATTTGGGCCTTTTTTGTCCACCTATTGAGACCTTCCAAAGACCTAGAATAGACAAGATGTGAATGTTTGAATAATATTAAAGGCTTTGTGGCAGGATGTCAGCCGTTCCAAGCAAAGCTGCCTTCCGCAATTGACCGGGGATGAATTTGTCAATTCCGACGGAATTCAAGTGGTGATCCCCCACCCAGCCAGATATTTAGACTGCATTTGGCATTTTTTTTTTTAAAAAAAATAAGTTTTTATTGAACAGACACAAAAAAGAAAAAGACATTTAAAAACAATGGATGTGGTGCAATCATCCTGACACACCTAGTTGTCTTACATTGCTAATTCATATAAAGAATAATACATTTTATATACATAGTATATAATATATACATAAACGTTAATCGTTTTTTATATTTTTTGATCCTTCTTAGTTTCCAACCAGTGATACTTTCCCCATATTTTGTAGTAATCAGAATCATCCTTATTTTTTGATTCTTGTGTCAATTTATCCATTTCTGCACAATTCCAAATTTTCCTAATTATTTCTGTTTCACCTGGCATTTCTTTACCTTTCCATTTTGGGGCATAAACTAATCTTGCAGCCGTGATTACATGAATTATTAAATATATTATACCTTTGTCATATTTTCCCACCTTTCGTGTCCTTCCAAAGGAGCTAGAATAGACAAATGTGAATGTTTTAATAATATCAGCAGTCTCATGACAGGATGTAAGCCGTTCCAAGCAAAGCTGCCTTCCGCAATTGACTGATGGTCAATTTGTCAACTCCGACGGAGTTCAAGTGGTGCTCCCCCACCCAGCCAGATGTTTAGACTGCATTTGGCATTATTGACTGCCTGTCAATTTATTCCCAAGCACCTGGGATAACCAGATGTTGTTTAATAAATATTTCGTGGCAGGATGTAAGCCGTTCCAATCAAAGCTGCCTCTTGCAATTGACCGATGGGGAATGTGTCAATTCCGGTGGTGTTCAAGTGGTGCTCCATTCGTTTTGGGATTGCACTCAAGATGCCTGACACTTTTGGTACTGCTATTCCTTTCTTTTGCCCTAGTCGTTCTGTTTCTGTTTGTGGGTCTTCTCTTTGTGATCTTCTCCAGTTCTTTCTCTTCTCTTCTGCCGCCACATCTACTGTCCGGACTTTTGAGTCTTTCATATCAAGAAAGTTTTGTGGCAAGTGCTGTCTGTTTCAATTCTAAAATACTAGAGCAATTTAGCTTTTGTGAATGAATTTACTCTTCCAAACTTTCGGATTCATGCTGGAGACCATCCTCAGTGAATTTCTGTCTAACTCGGTGTGCTTTGGGTTATTTTGTGTGTGGCTTATATGGTGCCTGTTATGTGTGGCTTTTTAGTTTTGGATTGGGGTGTTGATGGCTGGCTATTAAGTTGTTGGCTGTTGTGTCCTTGTGCTGCCAAGCGCTCACCCCCTAAATACCTGGTAAGTTGTCGGTAAATCAGCACTCCTGTTGACTGATAAGGGGCCTCATTCCCAGGCTTCAATTACTTCCCTGGCTGTTTTTGTACCAGCTCTTCCAACAATCTTAGTACCTGCAAAATTGAACGTTGGTGACTTTGTTAATGACAAATGTTGATGACAACATTCACAACTGTATCTATTTTGTGGTCCCACCAAGTTCTTGCCTGCAGGCAAATGATATTTCCTGCATATTTATTTTTGCTACCCTGTTTTCCCGAAAATAAGACTCATCCCAAAAATAAGCCCTAGCATGTTTTACGTGTGTGCATAATACCCCTCAAAATAAGCCCTGCTTCAGTCGGCTGCCTGCCCTTTCCATCTGGTTGCTTGCAGTGCTGTGGCCACAAGGCGGGCGTGGAGGTGGTGAAGCCGCCTCATGCACCTCGCACTGGTTTACCTCAGGGCCTCGTCAGCCAGGTCATCCATGCTCCCAACACCTGCCGCACAGCAGCAGCAACAGCCTGAGCCCACCTGGCCACAGGCTCACTTCTTCTGCTTGCCCGCAGCCGCAACAGAGCGGGAGGCAGAGGGGTGTGCTGGTGTTGGTGCCACAGCCACAAGGTGAGGCAGGTGTCGAGGCGTGGATGACCTGGCCGCGGGGGCTCTGAGGTAAGCTGGGGCGGGGCACATGAGGCAGCTCCAGCCCCTCTGCCTCATGGCGGCGGCAGTAGTGGACCACGCGGCCTCCTGCCCCCCGTACCCAAAGCAAGCAGAAGAAGTAAGTTTCTTGCAGAGCTGGTATTCATAGGTTCTGACCAGTTCTGGAGAACCAGTAGTGGACATTTTGAGTAGTTCGGAGAACCGGCAAATCCCACCTCTGACTGGCCCTGACCCCCATCTCTTCTCTGCCTCCCATTGAGTCCTAGCTGATCGGCTGGGCCTTCTTTGGTTGCCCTGCGGAGGAGAACGGAGCTGAAAAGCAGGTTAGTGGGGTGGGGAGGAATGGACATTTTACAGTAACCTTCCCCTGCCATGCCTACCAAGGCATGCCATGCCCACCAAGGCAGGCCCACAGAACTGGTAGTAAATTTTATTTTGAATCCCACCACTGGCCTTTTGTACATGAGGGAAAAAAATAAGACATTCCCCCCAAAATAAGCCCTAATGCTTATTTTGGGGCCCATTTCGGTCTTATTTTTGGGGAAACACAGGTATTACCATTCAATTCATATGCCGCTCGTCTCGCTGTTTTGTGTAACACTCCTGAATCCCAACCACGTTTTCTCTCCTCTCAGGGTTAATGAGTACAGTGGAATTAGGCGCTCAGTCCATCATCTACGAACTGTCGACCATCGCGTACTTGGTAAGAATTTGCTCAATTCAGAAGGCGGGGAAGAAGAAAGAATGAACACCCGTGGGAGACTTTGAGAAGCAGGATGTCAACTCATAAAATATTTCCATGGTCGTTTTAGAGTTGCCAACAGAAAGGGAGGGGAGGAAAGGGGTGTCAAAGAGCAGTGCGGCAGCTTGGAAATCGAAAGTGCATTCCATAAATAGTTTTTCAAAGATAATAACCAGGTGACTGAAGTTTCTGCCGGGCAAATATCTAACGGGAGAAGCGTGATTGATGACTCTGGGCTACGGAGGTGTCCCATTGGAGAATATGAATTACGATACACCCAGAGGGTGGGGAAAAACCAGGGTCAAGGGTGACAATGAATGATGTGTCTCAGAGTCGGCTGCACCCAGGCAGTGCCGGACATGTTAACTCCCAATAAATCCTTTTGAAGTTTTGGAAGTTTGGCTCGAGGCTCAGGATTTAAAAAGGGGGGGAACTGCCGGAATTCTGACACAAGAAACATTACTTAAAATGGAAAATTTCTCATTTGCATCTGAAGGCTAATGGGGCAAACTGGGGCAGCAGGTTTCCTGCGACAGCAAAGCTCAGCTAGCTGTTACTGAGGTTAAAAAAATTCATAGAAAGTAAAGATTTACGGTATTATCTTGATACTCGACGGCTTTGAAACTTGTTGAATTTGGTACGGGCAAGCCTCAACTTACGACCACAATTGAGCCCAAAAGTCATGTTGCTAAGCAAGGCGGTTGCTAAGCGAGTTTTGCCCCCATTTTGTGACCTTTCTTATCCCCGTTGTTAAGTGAATCACTGCAGTTGCTAAACCAATAACCCGGTTGTTAAGTGAATTTGGTTTTCCCCCTCGATTTTGCTTGTCGGAAGTTCGCAAAAGGGGATCGCGTGACCCCGGGAGACCGCAAACCGTCGTAAATATGAGCCAGTTGGATCCGAATTTCAATCACGTGACCAATGGGGGATACTGTAAACGGTCGTAAGGGTGAAAAATGGCCACAAGTTATTTTTAGTGCTGTTGTAACTTCAAACGGTCACTAAGCAAACTTGTCATAAATTGAGGACTGTCTGTGCATTATTCCTTACGGGAAATAATTGTTTGGTACTTTATCATTTTTGGAACTCCTTGCCCCTGTGCCCTTGAATGAGAAGCTGCAAAGAGGACAAAATTCAGGTGGGACTCGACTCACGAACACCAATTGAGCCCAACCCTTCTGTTGCTAAGCGAGACAGTTGTTAAGTGAGTTCTGTCCCATTTTATGACCTTTCTTGCCTTAGTTGTTACAAAGTGAATTGGTGCGGTTGTGACATCAAAAGTTTGACAAACTAAAGTATGCCTTTGGTTGGGTTAGGGCAGACGACCCCAAACTTTAAGACTTGTGGACTTCAACTCCCAGAATTCTGCATAGCTGGCTGGTGAATTCTGGGAGTTGAAGTCCACTGTCAGAATTCCGGCAGTTACCCCCCATTGAAGCCGAACTTCCAAAATTTAAAGATGATTTATTGGGAGTTAACATGTCCGGCACTGCCTGGGTGCAGCCGACTCTGAGGCACATCATTATTGTCACCCTTGACCCTGGTTTTCCCCCCACCCTCTGGGTGTATCGTAATTCATATTCTCCAATGGGACACATACATAGCCCAGAGTCGTCCATCATGCTCTCCAGTTAGAATTTTGCACGGCAGAAACTTCAGTCACCTGGTTACTATCTTTGAAAACATTTATGGAATGCAGTTTCGGTTTTGCACGCTGGTGCTCCCTCCTCTCTTTCTGTTGGCAACTCTAAAAAAGACCACAGAAATATTTTATGAGTTGACATCCACAAGTCTTAAAGTTGCCTGGTTTGGAGACCCCTGGGTGAGGGGTTAACCCTGGCTGGGTTTGCACCAAAAGAATCTCTCCAAACCAAGGACTTCACTCACACGAGCTTTTTTCTCAGCTGCCACAAGGGATGAGCGTGGCCTCCAGTGTCCGTGTGGGGAATGCCTTAGGCGCCGGGGACGTTGACCAGGCCAAGAGGTCGTGCATCATGGCCCTCCTTTGCACCGGTGTGTATGTCTCTTTAAACTTTGGAGGGGGTGGAGTTGAATGCCGGCCCGGAGAATCCTCGGAGTTTGAAGCCCACTGACCTCTAACGCTGCTAAGGTTATGGGACACAGCTTTAGCGGATGCCTTGTCCTACCTAAGCAGAGAAGAGGACCTGAAGGACCCTGCTAGTTTAAAAGAGGCTCAGAATCCACCCTCGATCGCCCTGATAGAGATGGATTGAGGGAGGGATAATTGGATGAATGGATTGATGGATGGAGAGGGAGAGAGAGATGTAGAGATGGATAGATTGATGATAGATGAATGGATGGATATTGATCAATAGACGGATAAATAGATGATAGATTCATAGATGGATAGGTGAGTAGGTAGGTAGGTAGATAGATAGATAAGATAGATAGAGGGATGGGTGGATGGATGGATGGATCATAGATAGATAATAATAAAGATTGATACATAGATTCATAGAAGAGATAGATAGATGGATACATGGATGATAAGATATCCGTAGATTCATAAAAGAAAGAGATAGATAGATAGATAGATAGATAGATAGATAGATAGATAGATAGATAGATAGATAGATAGATGGATGATTGGATGGATGGATGGACAGATGATAGATAATGATAAAGATACATAGATTCATAGAAGAGATAGATAGATGGATGGGTGGGTGGGTGGATGATTGGATGGATGGATAGATGGATGGATGATAGATAATGATAAAGATACATAGATTCATAGAAGAGATAGATAGATAGATGGATGGATAGATGGATGGATGGGTGGATGGGTGGGTGGGTGGGTGGATGGGTGGATGGATGGATGGACCATAGATAGATAATAATAAAGATCGATACATAGATTCATAGAGGAGAGAGATAGATGGATATATGGATGATAAGATATCCATAGATTCATAAAAGAGATAGGTAGGTAGGTAGGTAGGTAGGTAGGTAGATAGATGGGTGGGTGGGTGGG